ATTACCAATACGGAATAATTCTGATGGATGGAAATGAACCTAAAAAATAAGAGATACGTATTAGAAAAAAATATCTGTCCCACTAACTATCGTTAATATAACATCAATATGTTAGAATTTTTCACACAACTAATTGTTACATACATTTGCATTATATTTAATGAATTTAATATATTGATATTGAGTGAAAAATTATAATATTGATTATTTTTGTTAGTGTTTACGAGAATTACATTATAAAACATTTGTATATGCTTCGATACTGACTTCACACAGTACAGCTGATTTTGGAGGTTTCCAATCTGAAATTCCGACAGCATCAATCCATTTTTGTCTCAAGTTTGGATCTCGAGCAAAATTTATGCAGCCATATCTTTCTTTATTAGAGTTGGTGCACCTGGGAGCACTACACCTGGCAGGCATTTTGTAATGTGCACAAATCCTGTTATCTGAAATGTAAAAATTCATAGTTTTATTTCATGTATATATATGTATATATAATAGAGGAAGGTATTGTGACCATAGTTGTGAATAGCACAACTTCATCGCGATCTTGATATTTGATATTCAGTTCACAATAGGTTGAAAGTCTATTCTCTGTTCCCTATTTCTATTCCTTTCATTATGCGCAGCCATTGAGACTCTCTGCTGAATCTATAAAGACTATGTTCCAAAATTTAGTATCAGAATTGAAAATTTATAGTTTACATTACATGTATTATACATTTTTAGCACTGGCAGTAAATCGTCTAAAAGCAAGTATGTAATAAAATATTTTGTATGTAATAAAATATTACATATAAAATCTTATTTTTTTATATTTATATTATTTTATCTATTTATAGAATACATTCAGTTTTCAGAAGATTTGTAATTTAATTTTATTTTAATTCTGGCACTCATATATTATGCCGAGATTGCGATCTTCATCAAGATTTTAATACTACTAACTGCCATTTTTAACATGGTGAATATCTAAAATATCTTATGATTAAACCTGGAATTACCTTTCTGCGCTTGTCTCTAATAAAACACTTCTCGCCAAACACTCCATCATGATCTAATTTACATCATGCAATTGATATAGGTACTAATTAGTAACTTTCTATTGAATGATTTTAATTTCGGCAATATGTTGAATCATATGCATAATATATGTATTTAATCATTATGACATATATTAGTACATTATTCTTTAAATACATTGCTGAAATTAAAATAATTTAATAGAAAGTTACTAGTTAATTCATGTATCAAGTGCACAATGTAATGTAAACTAGGCCACTATCTTATTCGCTTATTTATATTATTACCCGTAAGAAAAACAGCTCACAAAGTATATTTTCTTATTGGCAAATAAAAGCAATTATACTTTTTCAAAACCACAACTTATCTGATATATTGAAGACTTCGATCTGCTTCCTTTCAATTAGCTTTGAAGTATTTCAGAGATTTCACTGAAAAATTTTTGTCTTTCTCAGATGGAGAAATATTGAAATCTTCAACCTAATCACTAGGATAGAAGAGATTTCACTGATTAAAACTGAGATTACGTCGACCAGCTATCAAAACACAATTTACAAATATTACGACACATTTATGATCATGAAACAATGTCTAGTTGTATCAGATTTTAACAGTCATGAATGTAAAAATAACTAAGAACGAAACGATCCCTAAAATCGAAGCCTAGCCCCTATTCTCGAAAGTATATGAAAATAGGGGGGAAATACTATAATATGTGTTACATACTATAGCATTACTGTAGTTTTTCGTATGTGATACTTTTCAAGAATAGAGCCCCAGGGGCGCGATTTCGTAACTTTTATACAATTGTCGTTACGCACTTTTTTCATACAAAATTTGCGCAACGACACCAACAACTGTCAATAGACGTAAAGATAGTTACGGAATCGCTCCCAAGACATTTCTGTAGCGGGATTCTCTAAACGTCTTATCGATGATTGTCGCTATCGTTAACTAACGACAGCCAATGGCAGGACAATTCTGGAAGAAAGCGCGGTTCTCATTGGCTGTCACTAGTTAACGATAGCGACAATCGTCGATAAAATAGAGAATCCCACAGCTACTATGAACTATGTACATACACACATGCCATTTGCGAAAGTTGCATTATAAATGGTGGAACTAATAGAGAAGAGAACACTATCCGCTCCATTCTCTCTTAATTCTCTCTAATCCTTTCAATTGAGGCTGTGTTTCAAAATTCACTGTCAGCGCTGAAAATCTACAAATTACATTACGTATACTATACATTTTCAGCACTAGCAGTGAATTTTGGAACACAGCCAGAATACTTATTTTGCAATTGCTGGAAGTTTTCTTGATGCTGATTGAATTATATCTTTAAATTTAAAGAAATAGTCCTATCACGCGAAAAAAATTCCAGAAAACTCTCAACAGGTGCAAAATACATTCTGCTGAACACAGTCACATTACCTAGGACTAGTGTTGATTGATGCTAATTGAAAATTTCTTGCTTTATCATACGAGTCGTACGAAACAAGTTTGGCAGCCCTGAAATAAATTCGATATTTTGTTATCTCGTATCTACCCATATCTCATCGCTTTTTTGATACTATAATCTATAGTTGTAAATAATGTTATGCATAGATGATTTTAAAATTTGCTAGAGTCAAAATGAAAATTTGGAAATTTATCTTAAAAATATTAAGATAAAGATGATTACATTTAAATTAATCTAGATAATATAGATAAATTTTTATTTGAAAATTCATCTGAAAAGTTTCAGATAATTTTCTTTACTTTTAAGACTACAATTTATTTGTTTATAAAGTATCAGTTATAAGGTATCAGTTTTTTCAAAATAATTAAAAAATATTAAATTTAATAATTTAATAATTTTAATATTTAATAACTCGTTATTTATTTTGGATGCTTTCCAATTGCAATATTCCTAGATACTTTCGTGCACACGGCGACACAAATTGCATTCCAATTGTGTGTCGATACAACGCTATACATCTGGGAATCGATTCTGTATCTTGAAACGAGGTGAAAATTATAAAAATGAGCGAATTTACTAGAATACTGATAATTTCATTGGTCAATATCTAATAAATTTGCTCACTTTTGTAATTTTCACTTTGTTTGAAGATACAGAATCGACCCCCTGTATTCAGTTGAGGGCTGTATAAGTTTGTGTTTTCTAGTGACAATTACATAATTATGTTATTAACAGCAGCAGTTATAAATGAGGTTGGAAGACGTTGAATGATCACTTTTAGAGACTCCGCACAATAAAAGGACAGAAAACAGAGAATAAGAATTTCAATTTATTAGAAACTGTGTATTACACAAAACAATGATTTCTGATAGGTTGGTTTGATAGGTAGGTCTCATTCTTTGTTCCTTTTATTGTGCGGAGTCCCTATTTTTTATTTATTACAAGCGGAAAAAACTACATTTAATCTATCTCTATCCGAAACGGATCTCAACCATGCACAACGTACACATTCTGTTCCAATTGAATCGTACACAATGATACACTTTGTGCATCCTGTGTACGTTCGTGTTAAGATGTGTTAAGCAAATGGAAAGCACCTTTATCTCTTACAATTTTTAAAGAACCAATGAAAAAGTACAAAAAAAAAACGTTTCGAACGTCCATATGTTTTCTGGTATTTTTGCGATATTGACATAAGGTCGCGCTTCTCCGATAAATTTAGAACTCTATTTATATTTTTTATAATGTATATTTTTGGAAATTAAAATGTGATAGGTATATATTTGATATTTGGCGAAAGAAAGAGATTTTTAGTGCAGGAATAAAAAGACCATTTGAGTGCAAATGAATAGTTATATATTGGATGTACCCACTCTCTTTCTGAGGCTGAAAATCTTTCTGCACGAACTACATAGAAGAAAATAATATTTAATATTCTGCACACTTTTAACAATATAAAATATAAACTAAATATAAACATCATTCTAAATAAAGATGACACTTTTTTTCTAAAATGCAGATAAAGATAATTAATATTTTTATCATCTAGATAAAAATGACGTCAAAATTTCATCTAGATAATTTTATCTAGATAAGATATAAGATATAATACTGGTTGTAAGTCAGAAAACCATTCTGAAGCATAGAGGCCACGAATAGGAACGCAACGATTGAGTGAGTGCTTCCTGCTATTGTTGTATTCTTTTAGATTATCCAATCAGCATTTTAGATCTGAAAGAATACATCAATAGCAACGAGCGTTCACTCAACTATTGAATCCACTGAACACAGCCATTTTGATTCTCATCGCTCTGTCGATCTACGTCATCTAAACATCTGACACTACTGATACATTCCAAATAATACAAACAATGCGATAGGATTATCAAGGAACACTCTTCGCTCATAGTTCGAGTAATATCGGCAATTTAGCCAAAGAAAAATCAGGAAAGAGAATATACCGTAGTGACAAGGAGAATGGCAGCCATACATCGAGAAGCGATACAAAAACAGATTCAACAAGACTGGGCTAACCGCGAATACATAGAAGTTATTACTGGCAGTATTAAAAAGATTACGGACTTTCTTAATTCTTTCGGTAATTTATCATTAAATTACCGAATTATCTTATTGTGTTCACAAAAGTGCTATTAAATTAATATCTTTGATCTTAAATCTTTTTTTGTTAGATATGTCTTGTAGGTCAAGAATAGCAGTCCTCAATGAGAAGCTCACAACTCTCGAACGAAGAATAGAATATCTTGAAGCATGCGTAAGTGATTTGTTTTTTATTTATTTATATTTTGATTACATTATGTGATTATAGATAACAGTTTCTCAGTTTTGTTTACTTATAATGTGTCACTTCCTTTGTGGTATTGTTGTATCAAACATTTTTTTTACTGTATTTATTTTACATTACTTACTTATATTGGTAGTTTCATAATTGCATTTATTTCATAGGTCACAAAGGGTGAAACGCTGACGTAATACTTCCACATACAATATATTCTTTTTACAATCCTTTTATTTCCTGTACTAGAATCGAATAAATACATGACGAAAGCAAAATATATGCATTTCGTATCTCTTTGTATCATTAATTATACAATATGATTTATCCCCATTTGATTTATATATCAGCAGCACTAATTATTTTTCTTCTGTATATGAAATGTCATTATTCCCAGGGTCTAGGTCCTCTGGGATCCTTAATGATGGTCATGTCGAATGGGAGAGAAGTATATTCTTCTCGAACTTGCGGATGTAACGGTAAGGGTTCAAAACCAGTCAGATCACTGAACTTCTTCATTGTGGCGCATGCAATTATTGCGATTGTCCAACTATGAGTTAATGGACCATTCTTTTGCCAGCGATAGAAGATTCCACCTGTGGCTAATGCTGCAACGAATAAACATTGAAATTTAATAATTATTCCTGGTGAATATATAGATACTGATACGTTTATACGTTACACACAGGCTAAAATGTAATTGAAATAGCCATCTTTTCCCCTAATTTTTGTCGTTGTATAAGCTACGGAGGCAAAGGTAGCACACATGGCAGTAAGAGGCACCACCCAGTAAGACATGCAATTTACTGTATTCCAGAAGCCTGCTGTCTGAGATAAAATTACAGAATCGTATGCGCCAACTCCAAGACCAGTGATAAATCCATATTTACTTAGCCCAACCACCTTTTCAAATGGCTGTTGGCCCTCTGGGGCATTACTATACCTCCAGTTATTCCAGAAATATGTTATTAGCATGGTTGAGGCTGAAACAGAGATTGCAATGAACAGATATACAATAAATAGAAAGTTGCGTGTCATTGCAAAACGAGTACAGGTTGTATACTTGAAAAAAAATATAAATTTCTTATAACTATGTATAATTTATACTATTGTGCATTTCTGTACCTAGTGAAGAATTTTGTTAGATTTCAAATTTTCGTCATCGATCAATTTTAATACATCTAATTTTATTTTAGTATAATATATATTTTATATACTTTTTTAGAAGAGGGAATAAGACATGCAATATAATCACTGTAACGATATACATAAATATGGAAGAAGAAATATTTACACATCGTAGAAATGGACATAATTGTAATGTCATGACAATAATTATTAAGTAACAATTAAAATCATTTGTTCTGAAGTGATAACGCGCGTGTGTGTGTGTGAAATACATACAATATAAATTGACAATAGCATATTCCGATCTTATGCAAAAAGAAAAAAAGACAAGAATCGAGATGGAGATATTCTAGCTAAAGTTATGACGTAACTCTGACGTCGATGGTTATATTTTTTCATATGTACATACCGCGAGTCAAGTCTCGCCAATTCAATTCGCCATAAAGCGAACAGTGGCACGTCGGCCAGGTTATGTCAGATTGTAATCGGAAAATATTTCAAATGTTAACGTATTGTATGTATGTGCTATCACTATTATCGTGTAATCACGTATGTTCGTACAAGTTCTGTATTTCAAAAATACACTTGACTGCTACCAGTAAAAAGCTATGATAAAAGACTACAGTTGGTAATACTGAAAATTACATGTGCTCCATTCTTCCCAGGAATCAGCTGATAGAGATAAGGATGGAAGAAAATGGTTGCAACAGAACACAACAGTTCTGTAACGTTTTATGATTGCTGAGAGATTGGACCATTCTTCTTGATCTAAAAGCATAATCCAATCAGCGCGAAGAAAATTTCCAACAGAAATTAATGTTTTGTTAAACCAATAAAAAGCCAATAAAAAATAAAAAAGAAATGAATTCTTCTCAGACAGCAAAGTGTCTAAAATCTGGTCATAAGACGTTTTTTGCAACTAGACGACTTAAAGACGTCTCTCTATGTCAATTTTAGATTTGTGCTATTTGGTTAGTACTCAAAAAAGTCACCAAAAATATTTTTATGTAGAAAACACAAGATAATATTTGGTATTTAATATTTGATAAATATTTATTAATTCAATATTCGATAAATAAATATTAATAACTCAAATTATGTAATGTTCATATTTAAAAGTACATTTTCACAAGTTTTTCAAACTAGCTGTTTCAGCAACAGAAAGGATTATGTGATAAAAATTGACGAATATGAAATGTTAATTTTGATTTCTCTAGTTTGAACGATTCATGAAAATGTGCTTTAATGCTGAATTCTTTTCCAAGAGTCGATCGATTAATCAGATGTCATTGTATGTTTCTGTCATGCTTGCCAACTACAAAATTGAAATCAATTGAAATTCTTTGCGAGGGACGAGGATTGAAATAGATAGAGGACGGTGTTCATGACGTGTTAAAAGAACATTTAAATCTCCATATATATTTTAATTGTTTAATTATAATTGTTATTTATAAAATCATCGCAAAATGTTGCGCGTCATTGCGAGACGAGTACAGGTATATATTCAGAAACAGAGTCACATTTCATTAAAATCGTGTAGTTTGTGAAGTCTTAACCTGTCTGCTTTACAATAACGTTGTTGTTTTCAGGATATAAAGATTACTTCTTTACGGACATTTAGCGCACAGGCTTCAAGTACCTGTTCACCCACAGTGAATACCAACGTGCAAGGTCTCAGCAATAATGTTGTCAAAGTACCAAACACACGTAAGAATAAAGTATCATTTTACATTATTAAGGAATATTTTTGTTAAGACAAGTTTCAGCTTGAACTGAAAATTTCTTCAGCTGTAGGACCCAATGCCTCCAAGGATAAGGAATACAAGAATCCCGAATACTTTTGCTATCATGTTGATTCATTTGGGGAAGCTGAAGTGGAATTGGCAAAGTACAGGTTGCCGGCACCATCTAATAGCAGACCATTTAATATTTAAATGATAGAATGAAAGCTTGCAGATAGTAGAGACAAAATAATAAATTTAATAAGTTGAAAAAAATGTACAAAAAAGATGGCGAAGACGAGCTGTGTGTTCAAAACTGTTACATATTAATTAAGAAAAATCTGTTTAATCTGTGTGATCCCCTTTATCATTTTCATTTAAAATTTTTCCTGAAAACGGAAATACTTTGTGTTGAATGTTATCTCGTAACTGCCACTTATAAAATACAAACGGCATTGCATGAGATTTTCAACATTCTTTAAATTCTCAGAAAAAGAGATGGAAGAGATATTCACATTAAAGAGGAGCCACTCAACATTGTGCTGATTGACATATTTGACATAGCTCCTTTTTATATGCATTTCTACCATACCTTTGACAGAGTCATGTTTTAATTCTAACACACTGGAATATCTAAGAACACTAACTAGTTTGGAGTGTTTATTTATAAAAATTCCAAAGTGCGGATTGATTGGTTCCCCTCCTTGTCCTTTATCGATAATCATAGCCAACTTCCACGTAGAACTAGAAACGTACCAACTATACAACTGTTTGGTCCATGACATAATAAACAACACATATATATAACGATGCCCGGCGTGTCACGTCATAATCACCAGACTGTATAAAGACCAACCCGGTCCTTGTCGCGTCAAAGTGCAACGCGCCCGCGTGACAAGGTTAGGGTTCAACGACGAAGACACCTCCTTCAGTCGCTTGGCCGACATCGAGTCGATTTATTGGTTACTTGTTTTTGCGTTTTTCCTTCTTCGTTTTCCCACTTTTTTTACTCTTCTTTCCCCCGGCCGTGTCGACGGACCGACCGTCAACGAACGAAATCCCGAATCCGGCCGGTGAGTGCTCGACTCGGAGTGGAGTACCAGTGAGTGCTGGATTCCTCACATTCGCGCCGGGTTCCTCGCCGATGTGAATTCACTTTCGAATCGAGGTCGGCATTTGTTCTCTTGCATTTCCTCCGTGTCGTTTGTGCACCCGCACAGAATACGCGAGTGTGCTCCAGCAAATCCCGAGCATGTCATCCGTTGCGCGGAATCGGTTCCTGTCGGCGCTCAGCGTCGCGTGGCGTCTCGTCGCCGCTGCCGACCACGCGCACGTAACACACATAGGCGTGCGCCGCGGGAATACGGCGTGCTGGAGGTGAGATGAGAGAAGCGCATTATTATTCAATCATCTCCGTGGTGATCGTTTTGTGACAAGAATATTTTTCAGTTTCCCCAGTAGAATTTTTTATTTTTTTAAGATTTTCGAGAGAGAAGAAAATTTATAATTAAGGAGAACAAGAAAATCATAATAATGTCAATTTAATGTCATATTGACGGAATTTATGTCATGATAAAAATAACAAATTCGATCATATTGATATTATTTTGATTTTTTTTTTGTTCTCCTTTATTTATTTTCTTTGATCAGGGCAAAAACAGCAAATCTAATGAACAAGAATGAAAAAGTATTCTTATTGCATGTCCAGATGATTCACAAAGTCAAAACCCATAGAAAATAAAAACAGCGTGACGAATAAAGGTGTCTTAAATTAAAGATGCCTCTACATAATTCGCAAATCGCAAAACGTAGTTCGCAAATGCTGAAACAAAATGACGATTACCGCATGCAAAACACACACAGATGAAAACCAACTACATGTAATGAAAAAATAAACAAATTTTCATTCTGCGTCTGCGTTTGCGAACTACATTTTGCGATTTGCGAATTATGTAGAAGCATTTTTATCCGTGAAATGAAGAAAGAAAACTTTCTTATGTAATATACAGACGAGAATAAGAAATACAATTGTTGAGTAGTTCTGATAAATTCTTCCTCTTCTTCTGTACTGTGGTTTAGAAGAATCGCCCATCGTATCTTTTGATTCGAAATGTTTTCATGTCAATACTTTGCGAGTTATATCTGACAATAAGCACATCATACAATTTTTGCGGTCTATATCATCCTTAAAGAGCCCCTTTCTCTTTGTTTTATAATTTTTTTAACCGAGTCTCTAAACTTTTAGAATAAATTTTATTCTGATGAAAATCTACTTTTAAAGATTGAAAAATAAAGATTAGATAAGATAAAAATGAGTCTCTCTTTTTCAACTTTCATTTTTCATTTTTTAGAGAGTCTACGCAAAGATTCTACTTGAAAAAATTTAGAAAATAGAAAATAGAAATTTTTCTTTTCATTTTCTTGAAACATTATTATTTCCACGTCGTTGAAATCGAAAAGTTGTTGATTCAAAAATTGTATCGAAATTTTATGTGTTTATCATTTTCGAATAATAAAAAATTGCGTATATACGCAAATAATGGGAGTTGATACAGTTTTCAATATTTTGGTGTGTGTGTGTGTGTGTGTGTGTGTGTGTGTGTAGGTATGTAATATATAGTCTTATATTCTGAAAGAGTTTTCGTTCAAAGATTGAATCAACATTCTCTTGATCTCATTTCGATTTTCAATTCGAAAATTAATCAAAATTATAAAAAAAAATCTATCTGAATCAAGAAAAATATTGAAAATTTTTTATGTCAAAACGTATTTTCAAGAAACTATTGATTAAGAAATAAATAAGAATAATTAATTAAGATAAATTAATTAAGAGTTATTAATTAAAAGATAGTCATAGAAAGACATAGAAAGTTAATAAGTATTCGATAGTTTCAGTCTCAAATTTATTTCCGATTAAAGTTTAATCTTTAAGTATTTTAGACTTGTCATCAATTTTATCAGAAGAATCTTTCACAAGAGAACGTGTGATTTCAGCTTTTGTAATAAGATCGAAAAGAATAATCGGTCAACATATCTTATCATTAGCATTTCGATGCATAGTTATTGTGCGCAAATCATTCACGATAAAAAAAGAATCAATCAACATGCGTTTTTTTTTCTGTCTTTTTCTCTCTATCGAACATTTGCAAGAAAGTACGTTCCGCAGTAAACGGAAGTCATTTGTTTAACGAATACCTTTACACTTTACACGCGTTGATTTTTCAAGACATGAATGCAATATGCTTTGTCACAGAGGAACTATTGTCAGGCAATCCATAAAGATCGATAAGCGAAACTATTCTCTGTTGCGAAGAAATTTATATTTTAGAAATCCTGTTTTTCTACATTTTTTTTACTTTTACGTATTATTTATCGAAGCCTCAAGTAATCAATTTGAATCAATTTTCCTTACAACCGGCTAATTAAAATTTATTCGTTTGTTTACAATTAAGGCATATTCAATTGAATTTAATTGGCTTTGTTAGAACAACTGATTTCGAACGCGGGTTATTATATTTCTTAAATATTTTTATATTTTCAGAATGTTTTGACGATAAATTAAATATTCGTTACAAAAGTTGTTCCACCTTCGGATAAATTATATCATAACTCATTCAGTGAATAAACAAAAGAGTAAAAGTGTATAAGAATAAAGAGAATAAAAAAAGGAGTTGAAGAATTTATAAAAAATAGAACAGCCTTATATAAAAAATACAAATATGTGTATAATAACGTGTCACATTTGTTAGAATAATCATCACATTACGAGATTAACAGATTTGATAAAACTTGTCTTGTGCATATATTATAATACATTTACTTTCTAAATTCTTTGGAGTGGAATCTCATTCTAAAAATCCCATTCTGAAAATTGATCTATTTTGAAAAAGAGTGGCTCAATCTTCTATCTTTAAGAATGAAGTTTTATTCTTCAGAGTGAGATTTACTCTAAAAATTTTGAGAGTACGATCTAATTATATTCGGATCAGAACGCAAGAACCAACCAACTATAATCGAGCATTCCCCTGTTATAGTCGAATGACAAGGGAATGCTCAACTGCAGTTAGTTGGTTCTTATATTCCAACTCGGATCGAATCCTCGGTATAAACTAGGTCTAAGATTAATAATAAAATTAAGATAGTAAAATATTGTTAAATTCAATCAGGAATAAATGTTACTAAATTAATTTTTTAAATCGATATAAATACAATTCAAATTAGACAAAGCAAAAATGTAAATTCCTTAAACTTTGTTCTTGAATCTTCATAAATTTTTTTATTCGATTCAATTCGTTCGCAAAGCAAGTATATATGGAAGAAAGCCACAATTAGATTTGTTCTATCGTTCGTTAATTTTGTTCAGTACTGTGTTCATTATCAGTATAATTATGTTACGTACACGTGTATGCAAATTTCTATTAACAAAGAAGCTTTATGATTCATGACGATAACGATAGTTTGAATTATAAAATATAAAAGTTATTTTTATATTTCGTTAGATATTCGCTGAATATTATCGTACATCGTAACTGAGATCATAACGCGTCTTGTTAGATCATTGATAAAGTTGTTTACTCGACGCTACACTGTTTCATGTAGGTAGCCTATCAGAAACGACATACGTGATTCGCAACGTATGCTCGTATTTAAGCCGTGGTTATCACGTGGAACATCAGTGTCGGATAAATAAGTCTGAGTTTAGTTTATTTTTATCTTTTAAATATTTATTTTTATTAGTGCTTTTTCTCATATATCAAGAAATTAGCGAAAGCTCTATTGATACTACTGATTATCATTTCAGCCGCAGACTTAATTCCGTATTTAAAAGTAATTTGAAAGAACAATATGTTTTTTATTCACAAGAGCTATGACGCTGAAGACACTATATCTTCAAAATCCTCATATGATTCAGCATAAATATTAAAATGTTTCAGTTTGCGAAAATCCTGAAATTTCCTCTAAAAACAAATCATTGTGCGTTCGACAAATACATGGCATGTCTTAAATTGTTGGTTATCAATCTTTAATTTAATAATTTGTACAATTAAAATTTGTACAATTAATATCCGTATTATCGCGCCATATGATAATATTATTTGATTTTGAAATATACATATGCAGCCTGTAATAACTTGTAACACTACTTGAAGTTGCAGTTAGAACGTAGCTCAAATAAATCGCAGATGCAAATGAACTTGTTTTTATGTATCCGAATAAACACGTTTATTGATTAACGATGTTCAGAGCTTTACATACAGTCACTACAAAAAGTATTCAATATACAAAGAAATTTTTTATTGAAAAAGTCTTATTTGTAGAAAATAAACATTAATTAACAAACATTAATTTTATACAATGAATACATTCTGTTTTAACATAAACAAACAAACTTTGCATGTATTTTAGAAGCTGATTTTAGAAGCTAAATTTCTCGACGAATACTTTTTGAGAATCCAAACAATTTTTAATTTTCGCTTATTTTTTAAATGATATATTTTCTACAATTAATACACATCTTTTTGGTATATATAATTTTAAGAAACATACATCTATTTTATTTTTTATGAATAAATTGTTAATTTTTCAGTAAGAAATGATCGTCAATTAAACGTCGAATCGACGTCAAATTGATGTTGAAATCATCGTATCGAAATCATGATATTGATTCAATGACTCCTTTCTCGCTGGATAATATTTACTTTTTAAAAATAAAATTTTTCTTTTAATATTTTCTCTGTACGGATAGTTTTTGCACTCACTGTAGATTACATTCGGTTCCTTCTTAGGAATTTCTAATTTAGTCTAGAACTTAGTATATTACATTAAGATAATATACATGCATCAGTAATAATTTTTTTCTATTCACTTTGCTATTGACGTAGGCGTATTCAGAGAGGGGGGGGGGAGGAGGTTTAAGTCGAGTTTTCAGGATAATCATGTTTATCGAAAAATGCTTGAACAAATCTAAGACAGGATGAATACTGAAGAGAGCTCTCGAAACTTTAAAAAATAGATTCTATAAATAAGCGCTGTACTTTTGTCATCTTTATTTATTTCCTCTTTTTTTTTCATTCCTTTTGATTGCATTTAGAAGAGTAATCTATCCATATCGCGCGCCATGGTTGATCATGACCTTTATCACTTTGTTTATTTCTGTACTTCGTGTGAAGTTTTTTTCATCATACATATTCAGAACATTATTCAGCATGACAAATCGAATTCAGATTTAAACATGCGTTTTTTCTTTGTGTTTTTTCTTTCCTGTAGAAGTGTAAAATTAAAAATCTAAACCAATAACTTTTTTAATAAACATTTTGAATAGAGCTACTTGAATTCGTGTTTTAAATAATAGAAATTTATAATTTATTAAATGTATTAATTAAATGTATTAACAACAAAAATATCAACTGTCTATTTTATGACATCAATTTGATTGATATTCAATTTTATTCCAAGTACCAAGACTTTAAATTATTCAACAGACTTCTTATTGAAATTCTTTAATATATTTATAAATTAAAAGGCACCAGTTTTATTATTCTAATTAGTCATGAGTCATACTTTTCATTAATTTATCACGTAGCGATTTTATTTGCACACATATCAAATCAATCGAACATTTTCATTTGATATTTGTCTTAATTTTTTTATTTATTTATTATATTTTTAGAACAATGGATTGTAATGTGCGAATGGTGCATTCTGCAACACAATCGACAAACACATGGGTCACAAGCAAAGATGAAAGTCGAGAGATGATGGCATTGTGGCCAGATGTTGTTCGCGATCTCACAGATTCGACTAAGAATTTCATTATTCCTGATGTCAACAAATGGATGGCAAAAGTAAATTATTATCTATTAAAATACTGTATAATTTATATGAAAGATGAGATTAAAATTCACGAATTAGTCTGTTCGAGAATAAATTTCCTTAGTATGATCGGATATTATAATTGTGAAATGTATATGTACATAATATAAATATATACAAATTTAAAATTAAATTTTATTCATAACGACATATTATAAATTTATTATTATAAATTTATGAAAATCAAAATTAAAATTCAAAGATGCCTACAAAAAATGTAGATATAAATAAATACTTTTGTAAGATTTATTAGAAAATTAAAAATGTCGAGTATTTCACTAACATATAAAAAAATAATTATAATAATAATAAAACAAAAATATAAAACAATAAATCACTGAACGAATATGCAGCTTGATGATGCTTTCTCTGTTTCATAGGTATTACAGTACAATGTTCCAGGAGGAAAAAAAATTCGTGCTTTAACATTAGTTTATGCCTATAAGATTCTAGCATCAAGTGATCAACTTACAGAAGAAAATATTCGTTTAGTACGGATCTTAGCATGGTGTATAGAACTGGTGCGTAAATTTGTTCTTCTTTTCTTTACATTGACACTCAATTTATCCATAAACTAATTTGAATAAATTAAATGCAAAATGTAATATTTTAATTTATAATACCTTAAAATTAAAGACAGTATAATCAGCGATTTTTATTAAAAATATAGTGGTGCAATTATGAATTAAATATTAACTTAATTTATTGCTACAGATGCAAGCCTTTTTCCTCATAATAGACGATATACAGGATCGATCTTTGCTTCGCCGAGGACAACCATGTTGGTATCGATGCAATAATCTCGATTTAGGAGCAATCAATGATAGTATATTGTTAAAGTGTGCTATATTTTATCTAATTAAAAAATACTTCAAAGGGAAAGATTGTTATGTTAATTTATTAGAAACATTTCACGATGTGAGTAAAGATATCTTCTCTTTTCCCAAATATATACATATATACATATTAAATAATTTCCTTTTACTTCTTAATTGAACAATTATTTATGAAAGTATTTCGACAGAGTATATTGAAAACAATAATGGGTCAAAGTTTAGATATGCTCTCTACTAATTTCGGCAAGAAACCTGATCTGGATATGTTCACGATGAATCGATATAATTCCATTGTCGAGTACAAAACATCGCACTATACTTTTGTTTTGCCAATAACCGTAGCAATGCAGTTAGTAAGTGCTTAATTTTCTTATACATAAAAAGATCGATTTATTTTGATGATAATACTGTATTGCGTTATTTGTAGGCTGGAATAAAAGATCCAGAGATGTTCAGGCAAGCAAAAACCATTTTGTTAGAAATGGGGCATTTGTTTCAAGTCCAAGATGATTATTTAGGTTGCTATAGCGATGTTCATGACAAGGATTATACTGATATACAAGAGGGAAAATGTACATGGCTGATTGTTGTAGCTCTTCAACGTGCCACTCCGGAGCAGCGTAAAATTTTAGAAGTGAGTATCACGAATATTGATTTAAAAATGCGTTGTTTCGTGCTGTTATATTAATTATTTTTCTTACGCAGGAATGTTACGGTTTTCCCGATCCGGAGAAAGTAAGACGCGTGAAACAACTTTTCACTGATCTTGGTTTACCTAACACTTATTCTATATATGAAGAAGAAACATACAATCTACTAAATGTACATATACAGCAAATATCACGCGGGCTTCCACATAGTCTTTTCTTGAATTTATTAAGGAAAATTTATCATAGAGTGTTATAAAATAATTGTGTATATTGAAAAAATTAATATTTTATTCATGCATTAAAATATTAATATTTTATGCATTAATATTTTATCATTAAAGTATAGAATAAGATACAATGAGAAATTCTACTAATATTCGAAAATATTAAAATGTTAATTCTTTTTATAAAAAAATATCAGAATATCTTTTATAAAGTTTTATGTATAGGAAAATATTTCACTTAAAAAAAGTTAATAAAAAAAATTTTTAGTATTTGGTATTATTTCTTCACTTATTCATAATGGTTTTCTTTTATTAAAATTTTATGACTGAAGATATTAATTTTACTTAAATTATAGAAACAAATTACAATATATAAATATTATTTATAAAAATCTTTTATGCAATATGTCTCTTAAGATGGGTCGGAGCCACATTGGGGAGAATGGATCAAAGGGAACAAAAAATTCTTATACTATTTTGAGATACTCGCTATAGGAGTTATCGCGTCGTTTTATGCTATATTTAATCGGAGTTTTATTTTTTGACATTAATGCATGTACACTTGAAATTATAATATAAGCTCGCGTAGACCGCTACATTACAAATCCAGATTATTTTTCCATGTGTAATGCATTTGACTGAGGTTTTTTTTTCACATATTTCTTGCCGTAACAATTTAACAAGTTTAATTGTATCATTAAAAACTTTCTTGAATTTTATTAGCTTTAATGTTCACTGATGAATAAAATTTAAATTTTCTTTCACTGAAAAGATTATTTATGCATACGTTAATGAGATACGTTAATGTTTAAGTTTGTAGTAACTGAAAACTTAAATGTATTGAAAAAACACTAATTGAAAATTGAGTGTTTTAGTTTATATTTTTCATTAAACTATCCATCAAATTTAATACCCATGTTCATTACATTAAATAATCTGTAACTTACAAGGAAAGGGATTCAACTATCCCTCTCCGATTTTAATGAGCGGTATATTATTCTTCAGACAAAAATAAGCGACATGTATTTTTTTATACGTGCTCATACGCACGTTGAAGGATGAAACACTCCTTGGAAAAAAATGTTTCTCTTTTGTAGCGAATATCATTGGAAAAATCGGTGTTTCTCTTTCGAAGCGAATGTCACTGGAACTATAAGAGATAGAAAAAAATTTTTAGAAAATAGAATGGCGTCGTATAATAAAGCAAGTGGAAAGGTATCGTGACGATCAGTATATGCTTCGCGTAATGCTCTAATTAATTACATCGCTTAACATATCTATAATTGTGTTAAAACGTATTTAATTGTGCTAAATAATGTAATTTATTATGATAAGAAAAACTTCAGCTAAAATAATATTTTTGGATAATGTAGGCGCGATACGGCGAAACACATAGAATCGCCATGCCAGGCTAGGCAACGAAGCGCTACTTCCTTCTCCATGCGTGCCGCCGTTGCCGCTCGAGTGGGTCTTACGAATTCGCGCGGCGCGGCTTAACTGCATATTGGCTTAGATGTTTCCTTTTCTAATTCGGAAACTACAGTAACTACAGTATCTCAAAATAGTATAAGAATTTTTTGTTCTTTTTGATCCACCCCCAATGTAGCTCCGACCCATCTTAAGAGACACCCTGTATAATTAAATGTAATATATATGTAAATAATACATATACATAATAGCATGGAAGACATTTTTGTGTATATTTTTTTCTTCATTTTTGAACAAACAATTACACATTTTAATAATCTAGTTAAAATTGTGTAATAAATTGTATATGCTGCATTCTGTTATTACTAATGTATCTATTATTTTATAAAAAACTTTAGAAAAAAACATTGTAAAATATGATAATTTATTATTTAAAAATATCTTTCGATATTTACATGACAATCATATTAACAATATATGTAAATCGCTTTTGTTGATCATAAAAAGAACATACATATGTATTGCTCTTCGAAGATATATATGTCTAAGCAAAGAATAGATTTCTCTTTAGTTCTCTTCTCGCATCTTCCTTTCCATTTTATACTTTGAAGTATTTAATGAAGTTTAGTAAGGTATAAAGTGTTTAATGCAAAAGATATAAAAAAATCTAAATTTATCGAAGGAAATTTTTATTTCATTATTTTTTTACTTGTAATTTATCACAATTTTATTCATGACGTAACGAAATTGTCATTCTTATTTGTCTTATTCTTCTTAACATTTGTTAAACTAACATTTGTTAACTTTAGAACGTCTTATTATAATGGATCAAACAATATGGATAACCATCAGCGAGGAGGAAAGTCAACAGATGATGGCAATGTGGCCAGACATTGTTCGTGATATCACGGAAGAGATAGAAAATTCTAACTTTTCGGATATTGCTAAATGGATGGAAAAAGTAGATCATCGTTAATTAAAATTATATATAAATATTATGGTTAAACAAAAAATATTATAAATATTATAGCCAATATGGGGTGTGTGTATGTGTGTGTGTGCGTGTGTGTGTATGAAATATGTTAAAATTCAAAAAAACATTTAACTAATTGATTGATTCATTTTAAGATAAATTCCTTTAGGATAATTATATGTAGAAGTAATGCAAATAAAATTATATGCAGAAATAATGCAATATCAAATTTCATAATCGTAAATATAAAATTAAAAATTCTCTCTCTTTCTTTTTTTCTGTGTCATATAGTGTATAAAGTAAAAATAAATCATCAAAATTTAGTAAACAACAATTTAAAGTAAACTTAACAAAAAAAGTTAAATAAATAGCACTAGTTTTAGATTTTGTACAAAATAAAAAAAAGCCTTGAGTAATCCAATAATTCAATAAGCCTGTAAATAGGTACATAAAACAATAAATCTCGGATTTAAAAAATATAGATTGATGTTTCTTTGTGCAGGTATTACAGTATACTGTTCCAGGAGGAAAAAAAATTCGCGCTTTAACATTAGTCTATGCCTACAAGATACTAGCACCAAGTAATCAATTTACAGAAGAAAATATTCATTTAGCACGGATCTTAGCATGGTGTATAGAACTGGTGCGTAAATTTGTTCTTCTTTTCTTTAGAATTGACACTCATTTCATCAATAAATTAATTTCATCCATAAATTAATTTGAATAAATTAAATGCAAAATATTTTAATTTATAATACCTTAAAATTAAAGACAGTATAATCAGCGATTTTAATTCAAAATATAGTGGTGCAATTATGAATTAAATATCAACTCAATACATTTATTGCTACATAGATGCATGCCTTTTTGCTCGTGATAGATGATATACAGGACCGATCTTTGCTTCGTCGAGGTCAACCATGTTGGTATCGCTACAATGATCTCGGTTTAGTAGCAATCAATGATAGTTTATTGTTAGAGTGTGCTATATTTTATCTAATTAAAAAATATTTCAAAGGAAAAGATTGTTATGTTAATCTACTAGAAACATTTCACGATGTGAGTAAAGATATCTTCTCTTTTCCCAAATATATACATATATACATATTAAATAATTTCCTTTTACTTCTTAATTGAACAATTATTTATGAAAGTATTTCGACAGAGTATATTGAAAACAATAATGGGTCAAAGTTTAGATATGCTCTCTACTAATTTCGGCAAGAAACCTGATCTGGATATGTTCACGATGAATCGATATAATTCCATTGTCGAGTACAAAACATCGCACTATACTTTTGTTTTGCCAATAACCGTAGCAATGCAGTTAGTAAGTGCTTAATTTTCTTATACATAAAAAGATCGATTTATTTTGATGATAATACTGTATTGCGTTATTTGTAGGCTGGAATAAAAGATCCAGAGATGTTCAGGCAAGCAAAAACCATTTTGTTAGAAATGGGGCATTTGTTTCAAGTCCAAGATGATTATTTAGGTTGCTATAGCGATGTTCATGGCAAGGATTATACTGATATACAAGAGGGAAAATGTACATGGTTGATTGTTGTAGCTCTTCAACGTGCCACTCCGGAGCAGCGTAAAATTTTAGAAGTGAGTATCATGAGTATTGATTTAAATAAGTGCGTTGTTTCGTGCTGTTATATTAATTATTTTTCTTATGCAGGAATGTTACGGCTTTCCCGATCCGGAGAAAGTAAGACGCGTGAAACAACTTTTCACTGATCTTGATTTACCTAACACTTATTCTATATATGAAGAAGAAACATACAATCTACTAAATGTACATATACAGCAAATATCACGCGGGCTTCCACATAATCTTTTCTTGAATTTATTAAGGAAGATTTATCACAGAGTGTCATAAAATAATTGCGTATATTGAAGAAATTTATATTTTATCGTTAGCATTAAAATGTTAATATTTTATACGTATTATTTATATATATAT